TGTAGAAGCCAGCTTGCCAACAACCTGCTCCCGTTTCCAACCCCATGTGACAGCCAATCCCCATATTTATTCCCCCTGACCAGATGAACTGAAACCTTCTTGTTTTACTAAACTATTTTTATAACTCTTACGGACTTCGGTCAGACATTGCGATTTTTGCGGTTGCTCGCCGTCGATATCTGTTTGGTTGTGACGATATCGATTTTGAGGCGAAGTGGTCTGCGTTTATCCTCAGGCTGGTGATCGTACCGCCTTATTTTGTAACCTTATGGTATCTGCAGAGGAGAATCCGTTGAGGTTTGTTGAATATGTATATTATTATATTTGCAATGGTACCGTGATTCCAGAATTCAGATTTCTTGGTCGTTTTCCCGGATTGGCACGCGTGACTCAAACTCAGAAAGCAGATAGCCGTAACAGCAAGTTCTGGAGCTCAAACGAAGGCAGTATTTATGTTCTTCTGAAGAGTATTCAGCCCGGCAGGTCCGCCGGGCGATCTTCGTAGATTTGTATCTTCTGTTTGGTGCGGAATTAGTTCCTCACTCATGGAACAGATCTCTAATAAGCGTGGTGATTGGGTAAATGAGTCCTGAGAGTATCCCGTACATTACAATCAGTGAAGTAGATATCAAGAGGCCGGTTAATACGTGATCAATTTCCATGGGTGTTTCCTGAGTCATGTGGATGTACCCTAGCCAACTTTCAGACGCAGAAGCACACCTGTCAGGCCCTTGTGATCGACCTATTGAAAATTTTCCGAATAGTTCGAGTTAATCTCATCATTCAGGGTGCGGCTGCAACAACTTCACTCTAGACATCGAAATCTAGAATAAAGGTCGCGGAATGCGAGTGTGACATATGAAATACTTTATGATTTACTAGTTGCTGAGGCGAGATCGCACCCGACATTTTTTAACCTGTTTATTCTGCCGCCATCATGTCGTCGTAAAGCCGTGGGATATGCTGTGCCAGCATACGGGCAGCTGTTCGGTAAATTCAGCTAACGGGCGGGTACGGTAGCTCTTTGCTGCAGCAAGGCAGTAGGAGTACTACCCGAGCCCGGAGTTCTGTCTAACCTCAGCATCGGCGCAGAGGTGAGCTGTGACACTGCGGGCATCGGCGCTCAACATTTACGTGGCGCCCATTTCTGCCTCTTTCAGTAATGTCTAAAGTGGCTTCCTCCCAAGACCACTGCACCTCCGCACCCTCATCAATTGGGGTGATCGTCGTGGCAACAGCGACCTAGGGGGCGTTTGGTGAACCAGCTTCCAAAATGCAGACCTCGGGGTTACCGGCAAAATGCCTGAAGAAGAGCCGATAAGCCCTGTCTGGTATGCATTTTTCCTGTTGGACGGATGCCATGTATGAGTTCTGCACTCTTTGGTATTGTGCTTGGGATTCGTGGTCGCTTAACAGTGAAACTCCGTTCCAGAGAGCCTTGTATTCAACATCTTAGTAAGGCAACTTGAAGATATTTACATAATTGAGGCGCCTGCGCCGCATAAATGCTGAGGGCGCCATGGGTGTACGATTTGATTAAACCGGCCGTGCTTCCCTCCAGTGGTTAAGCTCCACCAAACGTTGACATTTACTTCGCGATTCCTTAGCAGTTCGCTCATTACTGTGGTTACTGTGAGCGTTCCAAGCTGCTGGCAAGTTGAACTGCTTGCTGCATGTGCGAAAATAATTCCATTTCGTTTTAGCTTTTTGAACTGGGGGTGCAGCACGTCGCATTTGATTGGTGGTGGAGTTTGTCATTTCGGCCTTCGAGCTACATATGGACTTTGCCAACCAGAGAGCCGAGGTCTTGCAGATCTTTCGTCCACGCTGGTATTTCTTCCTGTCAGCTGGAAGCAACCGTTCCAAAGCCATCTGCGTTATTAAAAGTAAGGTGCAGGCGTTGACAATATAGAACAACTTTTTAACTGGTAATGAATTCAACCCTACGATATGCTCGCTCAGTCCTCACCAAGACACTTGGGCGTAGAACGAATAGAAGACATCACTTTCCTCATTCCAAAGGCTGAAGGTCCGGTTGCCCATATTATTGTTCTTAGTCTCTTCAATACTTCCTCCATCACTGCCATAGTTTCAAGCTTTGAAAGCGCTCCGCCACCTTCTCACAGCCAAGCTGGAGAACGGCTCCAAGTAGCTGTTGTGGAATCCACCATAATAGCTCCCAGTCTTGTACCCTTAAGCGCCTTACGAAATACCATCATGGATTATATCTTCACCATCCCGACACTAGGTCATATTAGTTATTGAGCCGGTAATCAGTTTACACTTGGGAGATAGATGTCTTGATTTATATTTTGTCCGCCAACGATGCCGGCCTATACATCGCTCTTATCTACATTCAGTGATGTAGTGCGTTCGACAAAGCACTCGCGGTACCCCCTTCGAGAAATTTCTATCCGCAGATATTGGTTGCCCGCTCCTGCATTACTTTTTTCATACCTCATTAGAATAACCTAGTTCACTAAAGTCGGGTTCCCTATCAGCATTTAATCTCACCTCTTCAGTTGTTCAGTTTAGCGTGCTTGGTCCCGATCTACTTAATGGACATCAGTGAAATCACTGACTGTGTCACCCTAGTCTCCGCTTTTCAATTTGACAACGGAGTTAAGAGAACACACACATTTCTGGCCAGTGAATCTCATCCTATTGTACCTAACCTTCGGTAAGAGGTGGACTCTGTATTCCGCTGTTCCTGTGAATACGGTACTTTTTCCGCCACAAAATGCCAAGCCATAAAGTAGATATTCCAGATTCCTCCTGGCACGCTCACTGCAAGTAATCTGTTAACTCCTTCAACTCTTAATAATGGGAGGACACATGTATTATGTACTCCAAAGGCTTCAGCGCTTTGAAAAATGCGCGGTACAAAATGGTCTAAGCCCGCAAGCTAAGAGCCATCATTCACGATTAATTCCAGCAAACCATCTCTGACTGCCATCTTGAGGCGGTTTGCAGTGCCTGACTGAGACTTAGTTTCGCCTTCCCTCCACAGTATTCACAGGCTCGTCGGACAACTGTGGAGAATGTGAGATGAATATTTAACAACTCCTTGCCCTCGGAGTCATCCGCACCGTCATAACATTTTTCCTGTTTTTGACTTGGACAAAATGGTTTGTAACTGAGGCCTTTTAGGCTAAACCTAAACCTTCTAAATCGCCTGGTTTGCCGACAGATTTAAATTACTGCCTCTTTCCCAGAGTTTTCTTCCCGCCTCCCCCATAATATCAGCAAACGTGAAGTTTTGTTCCCGCTGTCAAATTGCCAAACTGTATTTAAAGAGAGCTTTTTCAAGGCCATGAAACAAGCTCTTCCAATATCCACGCTATATCCTGTCGTGCAGGATTTTAAAGGATCCTGGTTCCATACCTCCATGCGCGGTAGCCTAAATAATATGAACTTTCTTAAAGAAGACCTAAGACTCGCCTGGTCATGCTCTCACCCCAACTGGTCTACTACTTTCTCTTGGCGTATAACTTAAATGCGTCGAGCCTCCATTTTCAAGCACAATCATGGAGCAACTTCTTTCAGATTATTCTTGGCTATTATTCACTCAATTATTTGTCCTTTACAAAGTGGTTAAACGTCCGAGGAACCAACCTGTTGACGAAGGAGGCCGATGCTTGCCATCTCAATATTTTTCATGCCCACCCCCACTTCCCTGTCGTGCACCGATATTCGGCCATTAAATTTGGAGCCCAAACAATGTGCCCATTGTTCTATTAAACCAGGTTCAGTCTTTGGATTGCTCTGTTAGCTCTTTTTGACGTTTGGTCCTTGGATTTGCTTAGCTTTCAATAACACCAACCAAAAGGAAGCCATATTTTCTCACTCCCGAAAACTATACTACATTTTCTCTCGCGCAAAGCGCATGCACAAAATAGTAATTGGTCCGATGAATCTTCCTTGAATAAGGTTATCGTTTGACTCCACAGTCTATTTAGTGGAATGCACAAAAGTATCAGTGCACTTCTGCTTGGTATGATGGTTTATACCGGGGCTTCGTCCCCGTTTACCCACTTGCACGAGTTTCAAACGTCTTAATTTCACTCATTATGCTAGTGGTTGCTGTAGCTTCATCTGTTTCTTTCACAACCGGTCTGTTCTATCGGTTGTTGTCTTGTTCGGGCAAAATGAACAGTTTAACTGGCCTGTACTGGATAACACAGCGGAAAGCTGACGTTTGTTGTTAATATCCAAGTGGCGGTTGCGACTTATTTATTCGCCCATTATAGACGTGGTAGCATACAAGACGCCTCGTGTACTGAGTGGGCGCACCCCCTTGGCCATCCTCTTTCGTTGCGCCTCGGTGGCTTCATATAACCGCCACCATTCGTAAAACAGGGGCACTCTTCTCAAAGCCGGCATTTTCTTAAACTAAGGAAATCCCTAAAAATACACTATTGCTGTGGGTCTGTAGCCGCTGGTTTGCATTTGCTTAATTTGTCAATAATCTGGCAATACCACGAAATATGGGCTAGGGATTTTAGGGCATGGGGTAGCTCACTTATGGCTTACGTCGACTTGCAAACTTGTGGTCACATCAGTCCCGTTCGTTTCAGCACATCAAGTCCACTTTCTCGGCCGAAAGTAACATTTGCTCTTCCTGCTGGCTCCTGGGATTCGTCACACACCAGTGCAATGCACGGATCTGATTATTCCTTTAATACTAGCACTCCCACCTATTGGCCTGTTTTGTCTTGTACCACTGGCTTCTTGGAACTGACGGCAATGCCTTAGTGGTTATTGGTTCTTACTTCCACCTTCATGCTTCCTCCCAAAATGTTATACTATTCAGTTCACGTAGAAGCCTACAGTAAAATCTCTGTCCTTTCCAATTATCTCGGAAGTTTCATCTGCATCATAGTTTTTATGTTTCCTCTTTCTCCCTAACCTCACCCACCTATACACAGCAGCATCCCTCTGATGGGACCACAACGGAGAAGCTTTGTTTAACACACTGACATACCCCAACACAGACTGGCATGATGGATAGCCTCCTTGCTCGTAAACCTGTCGGACAACTTAACACCTTGCCCGAAATGTCCAACTACTTGCTTGCCCTGCTCGCACGTCTGCTGACGACCGACCCCCCGCGCAAAACGCCTGAAACCCCTCCCCCAATCAGTTCTGGCCAATCTGCACCCCTATCTAAACTTACTCCACATCTGACAAGCAAAGACACCTACACCGGTTTCTTCCATGCCTCTTTTACTATGCTAGCATAATACTGACAGATTTGGAGAGTTCCAATAGGGTGCTAGGTCACTGAACTTAAAGTTGCGGCCGTATAGTCGCACGTAGCGACTTGCCGTCATCCCCATAACTGTAGACTTTATATATTCTTCTACTAGTGTACCTCCTACTATCGCGTACCTCTTCACACTTGAAAGGCCTTGACAATCTCTCGCCGTTCTCTCCTCTTCTCAAGCTTTGCTATTCGGTGGTAGCTGCTCCTAAATACTTTCTGATTTGTTTCCTTATTACATCCACGTGGATCTTCAAACGAACTGAAATAACGAGTGATCTATGTCTGCTTAATTCGGCTTACCCAAATCCCGCTGACCGCAGAGATGCATGTCCCTCGCTAGATCTCATTCATGGCGCCCACTGAAAGTCTGCCCGGAAACTGAAATTTGGCAGTGCAGTAACGACAGGGCCCTGTCCTATCAAGTCTGATGGCAGACCTGCAAATATTTTCTTCGTAATCTGGGACGCCCGGCTGAAATCACAAACAGCATACCTGGCTCTAGCTGCCTTTGAGACGTATTCTTACTGATTCGCTGAACGCTGCTCCCAGACTCAGTGCTTCGCTGCACCTTGATTCAAGACGCTCATTTGATCCTGTGCATTAACCCCATCTGTCCTCCTCAAAGAATTTTCACCTCAGTCAAAACTCTGATGGCGATATCATTCAGCGATATCATTTCAGTTCACTTCACATTACTGAAATTCACGCTGAAATTTAGTTCTATTGTTAAAACAGCCACATCATCTGCTTACAACTATCCTGACCCAAGTTTTTTGCTTAATTGCGCAAGGTCACGCAGCCCCACAAAGTGCCCTCGGTTTTAGTTCAACTCAGCCAACTCGGTCAATGAATTACACACCCCCTCGTTAGCTTTGTTGCTCTAGTTTTTTCACAACCTACAACCATATTCCACGTATTAAGCATGTTCATCTGGTGTTTCGGTAATTAATCCACAGGTTATTGTAGTCATATTACAATTCAGAAGATATAAACAGTGATAGGTTTTTGCTACGGTTAACAGTGGTGAGTTGGAACATGTATAAAATAAATGCAATGCGAAATGAAGAGCAGGTCAATAGGGGAACTTGTCCTTCGTGAGGGCCCCCTGGTGAAAGTTTAGGCAGCGGGGACGTGTTTTCTCCGCAGTGTAGCTGCTACACGTCACCTGTAATTGTCCGTGGACTAGTGAAATGTAGTTAAATTCCCGCTCCCCGCACGCGCGTGGGTCTTGTGCCTTAACTGTTTTCGGTATTCTTATGTGAGTACGTTTGAGTGTACGTGGGCGTGCTCCATACATGAATCGTTACCACGCATACTAGACGGTACAGACAGTGAACGTCAGATGAGTCACCTTTGCGTGACGTTGCTCGTGAGTGTGAAAAAGACGAATGCGAGCCGAACAGCTAAGTTGGAGGGTGAATGAATAACTACAGCTTCTTGTCCTTTGTGTTGTTGTCCACCACCTTTAATTTTTAGTGACTTAATCATGCACCTACTGTAGCGCATTCTAGAAGCTTCGGAAGAGCCTATTATTATTGCTGGAGACTCTCTACCCAGGGGAGTTCTTGAATATATGTTCAAAATTGTATCCTAGCGGCTCAGAAGATTTTGCGTGATCTCAGCAGGATGTCTTAGGTGTAGCAAGAGGTCTCTTATGTGAAAGGGTTACCACGCGGTTTTTTAATCGCTGAGGGGGGATTTTATTTCATCGACCATATCATAAGTAGCGTTGAGGGCACAAAGTGATAGCAGCCAACCCTCATAGAGTCTAAGGTATACAATACAGTTTTTAGATCTTTACTCTTCGCCTTGTTTTCCAGGTATAAAGTTATGTTAGGCGCGTGAAGTTTAGTATATTTTGCTTATAGTCATTGGTAGCATTTTGGCCCCCCAGTATGTCCTTTCTACCCCTGAAATTTCGGTTTTGAAATCCGAAACGTTCAGTTATACTGCCCCATTAGGTTACTAGCAAGTTTGTACTAGCTCAAATGCACGGTGCGTCTGGCCATTACACAAAGAAAGAAAGCATACTAAAAATATGACCTGAATGCAATCATAATAGACGATTCGGATTCACTTAAGGATTTAGAAAAACAGTGATTTTTGGGCATTATACATTCGACTTTTGAAATGGTTGGATAAAAATACACTAGCATGAGGTTGGACAGTAACGGGTAGTTTGGAACGTTCAGAAATTTCACACTGACTGAAATGCGGCACTCACTGTCAGTAAGGTTGTGATCATTTTTTGTCTATAGGCCGCGTGATTTCGTAGGTTTTTTCTACTGGTGCTTTTCCCGCAATACGGAGGGAAAAGACAACGGATGAAAGATTCTGGAATGTGTCAACCGGAATCAGAGATGAGAGTAATTCTGCGGACTTAAGTTTTGAAAAGACATTTCATGAGCAGATGGTCCTTAGATTTTACTGCACTTGTTCTGCCAATTTAAGTACTGCACATTTGGATGCATTGCTCACTAATTCAAGAATGTATTTAGCGTTGCTCTCAAGGACACCTCGCCAGCAGCAAGTGCAGACAACACTTCCACGATACCGAAGAATAATTGGTTTCTCGGTAGAACAACCGCAACTCCCAGCGTTTTAGGAAGCCTTTTAACTCCCGATTCCTATGGGCACACACAGCGAGGTTTGCGAAAAGCCGAATGAAATGGCAATACATTTGACCAAAAAGAGTCAGTTTATTCTTTCTACATTTTATAGAGAAGAATTGACTTTAGCTGTTGTATGTTCATCCTATCAAAAGAACCCGCGGCACTTCTAGTAACTAACTAACCAGTCCCCTGAAGCATTTCACTCAGTTTTAAAAACAAATCAGCCATTTATTATACTACAGATGCACTCTATTTATCGCTTATGATTACACCTAGTTATTGAAGGCAAATTAGTTCAAATATACTGAAGTTTACCCGATCAACCTGAGTCTTTCAAATACTGCGATCTTCTCGAGATCATTCTTCAATAACATAGGCCACTTAGGCCACGGAAATCACAAAGATCTCATCGGTATTAGCTTTATTTGCGCTTTCTTACGTTATCTATGGGTTTGGTTCCATTCAGCGTTTTTCATTGCACTGACGTTGGCTGGCAGTCTTGGGTCTTTTGCCAAGCATAGTTACTGATAGCGTGGCTATGTTCCCTCCACATTCGTTACCAATGAAGATAGGGTTTTGAACTGCACATAGCGTCAATGAAGAATTTATTCTGTAACCCGAAGTATTCCACCGGAACAATCTTCTGAGCTCATGTTCCACCGGAACAAATCTTCTGAGCTCATGTGCACACGCATGGTTGTGCACAAATGATTGGAGAAGTGAGGTACCGCCAATGCTAGTATTAGGCCGCCCTCTTCGTGTTTTAAGGCAACAATTTGTGGGATTTAGAAGTGGACTTTTTCTCTTTGATGGCACAAAACATCCTGGTAAAGAAAGTGTCTGGAAATTAAAAATTGGCAGAATCCGTAGTTCAAAAAACACAAAGAGATGCGCGAGAGTCACCAGATCCAACACGGAAACTCGTCATCTCCCACGCCTGACCAACGTAGGCCTTTAGCCACATCGAAAGCAGTAGATCTTAGTATGCAGGACTCCAGAATATTTTCATGTAGGGGCATAGATCCCGGGAAAAAACAACCGAAATTCCAAGGAGTGTTTAGGCTCTGAGAGACTGAAGTCAAATGTGACTTAACTCTCTTTGCTTTTCTGCTGTTTGCACATCCGACGGCTAGTAAAACGTAGCTCGCAGGCAGGGAGCTCATATTTTGGGAGGCACCGTGACGCCCTAAGACATTCAGCCCTCTGCGGTAATGAATTTATGTTGTGACGTGTACCACATAGGAAAAGATTTGCAATGACAAAGTTGTTCGTTTTAGATCTAAAGCACCGTAGCGATTGCAATGCTTACCGCTGGCTTCCACCGCTGCGGTTCCTTTTATACACATTCAGAAAAAATCAAAGTGGTCATATGTAAGAAACTTGCTCTATTTGCGCAGCGATAAGACTGCAACTGCATAGACGTCTTCAGCAACAATTGTTAGGCTCCTAAAAATTTTTAAACAGATACAATGCATACCTAGGTAAAAGACTAGTGTTAAATTTGGTGCTGAGTTAAAATTAATATTTCCTGATCAAGCCAAGAATTTGTGCACTCATGTAAAAAGCTCTAACATTTTGTTGAATCATGCACTGGAATGTTGGTGGAGTTTTTCTGTTTTATACACGCAAAGAGCATCTTTGAGCAGGAAACGGCTTCAACAAGGATCGAAATGCTGTAAATAACGCTATGCAAACTGCCTTCCCTGATCACTTGCTCTGGGAAAGCGGTTTAACTGCTAACCAAACCCTTTTGACCGGCAGAAGGCCCGGGATGCTTTGTCCTTTAGTTCTTCCTTTTCCAGGCATTCGCCGTTTTACGGATGATCCGACGCACCTTCTCCCGTATTACTCGCATGGACTTCCAAATACTCTATGGGGCCTACGTCAGACCGCTCCTGGAGTACGCCAACCAAGTTGTCTACTCAGGACGTACGAAAGACGTTACCCTCATTGAGCGTGTCCAGCGGGCCGCCACGAGAATGGTTGCCGGCCTCAAATCCGTGGACTACGAAACGCGTCTCGCGATGCTTGATCTCTTTCCCCTGGAGTACCGTCGCCTCCGAGGGGACCCAATTCTTAC